CGGAGGGCGTCTAGACAAACGACAGTTTGTTTTTCGCAATTTCGCCGTACTTTAGGCTTTCGACCCGCTTTCAGATATTACAATCAATGGTTGTCTTTGTTTGGAGCCATCTTGTGCCTCGCTATCATGTTTGTTATACAGTGGTGGGCTGTATTACTCACCTTTGCGTTGATTCTGGTCTTCTATTTGTATCTGATGCACGAGAAACCTGGTAAGAACAATCTAAATATTTGAATTATAAATTATTTTCAATGCGACAGAAATGCCATGAGAACTTGTTGCGTTTTTGTTTGTTTATTTTGAATATGATTTAATTTTTTTTTATAAAAACTGCATTTCAAACATGATTGTATTTCAAGAAGTTAATTGGGGTTCAAGCAGTCAAGCCAACGCTTATAAAAATGCCCTGAACGCGATGCATCGTTTGGCTCATACGGAAGAGCATGTAAAAAACTATAGGTAATGATCATCGCCATGCAACCGCATCGTTGCTGTTACGCGACGGCGGACTGATGCAATAATCGAGTATATTTAGGCCTCAAATATTATTGTTGACGAAAAATCCGATGATGGAGATGTCGCTGATAGATTTTGCTACGAATATCACAAAGGAGAACGGACTTTTGATCTGCGGTCAGGTGTTGGTGGTAGGTTATTCATTTAATTATTTGTATCTGAAAGGAGACCGTCCATATGCAGATGACTGAAGTTTAAGTGTATGTTTTACAGCCAACGCTCCCCCTTCTTTTCATCCACTTGTTATCATTCGTTGCCTGTAAAATGGTCTTTCACATCATTTATCTGAGTGTCTCTGTCATCATTGAATCCTGTCAGCTCGTTTTGCACTGTGATTTGAACTTATCGCATAAGTTAACAACTAATTTTATTCGAATTCAAGCTTTTATTCTGAGTTTGTTTCTAATTTTTCTCTATTCTTCAGCATCCAAATCCGGTCGTGCTGTTGCCGACGATGAATAGCTGGCAGCAAAAACTGACCAAATGGTTGTATCAGCAGAAAATCAAAGGTTTTTATGAAGGGATCACCGCTACGTCACTCCTCGATGGAGTACAGCAGTTGTTGCAGGTGCGTTCCCGCTAGTGGATCACATGTTGAATCTCCGTTTTGATAATCGGTTTTGTTTCTTCAGATATCCGGTCTCGGACGGTTGAAGCCAAACATTCTGCTTCTGCGTTTTAAAACCGACTGGATGTCAGCTCCAAGGGCTGAAATTTCGACTTTTGTAAATATCTTACGGTAATTATTAAACTTTAGTGCACACTTTAAACCATTGCCATCTTTCTATGACTGATTTCAAGTAGTGACTAGGCTTATACGTCAGTACGTATGTGTAACGGACGAACGTTTCATCAATCAGCAGTGTTTCCGAGTAGTACATCGTACAAACGCTCATTAAGTGCAGACGATGAAGGAGAGAAATCTTTTGGTTCTGACATGAATGAATAAAGTTGACAGGGAACGACATGCATGGTGCTCATATAGTTTAAACTTATCGCTTACTGCTAACGACATTAAACTTTAGCATGGGTACAAAATTTTTTTATGCGAAAATGTTTGAATCAGAGATGCCTTTGTTAACGGATATTTACAGATTCTGATAATTATCCTCAGCGTATAACTGTACACTGACATTACATAAATCTTTTATGCTTATTTTGGGAATGTCATGTTTCAAAATACGCCAAGGTTATAAATCTCCTCTCTTTTTCTCAATTCAAATGTCTTTGTGCTTCACACAGGATACTCCATTATTTTATTCTAACGTTTTGGTTTTCGGCACAGAAGCCATTATGATAAGGTAAGAGCCCAAACAGCCTTTTAGTAAAATAGGTTGATAAGGAAAGGGCTAGATGATGATTATATTATATTTATGTTCATTTAGACATATGGGAATCTAATCGCGGCGTAAAAATTTTATTTATTTATTTTATTGCTACTAATTTCCATTAGCAGTGATATCACGTAACTGTTAGCCGAGAACGAGTGGTAAGTTCATGATCTGCAAACTATTGGAAGAACATGCTATTCTAATATGGTAATGCCATAGGCTGTGTTTTGTTCTCTGTGTGCTGTATGGCTGCATTGTGCCTGGGAATTGAGTGGTCTCTAGGTTAGTTGATTATAGGAAAATGTGCATATTGTTTAGTTCGATACATCATGTGCGGAGGATAGGTGACAGATGATGAAGATTTCATTCAGGATTGTTATGAATGTATATACCAAAATCTCTTAATATTACTATAAATTTCATCAACCGCAAAATTTTAATGCTGATTCGGCAACTCGTATTAGGCATATAATACAGTTGTTTTTAGGCTTGCGTTCGACACCGATTTTGCTGTGTGCATCCTACGTCTGCCTGCGGATGCCATCCAACTAGAACACTTGCTTGGCTGCAACGTGTTGGACCAGAGCAATCGGTTCAGCTGTGAAAAGTTAACCGAATTCAAAACTGCGCTTAACTCTAAAAATCGTATTTTCTGCATGATGAAAAATTTCGAAACGTGCATTTA